CTATGATGTACTTGATCATTCCAGAGTCATCTTTGAGCTGAGGCGCAAAGATGCTCGCAAATGTACCAATGTCATTTTGCTTGGGGACATCCTAGATTATCTCGGCGAGCTCTTATTTGATTAGTCTTCAAATAGTCTTATAAGATAAGGACCTTTATTAGGATGTTTGCGGAACTACCTCGAGGCAGTCATAGGAAGTATGCAGTGACTGTTCTGAGCAAACAGAAGTCGGGCAACTGGTAGAGAATACTAACTTCCTAACATCGGAAGCCTTCTAAGGTCTTTTATAAACTAAGCCTTTTCTGGGTAGGTAAGATAAACCCTGTAACCAACCTTAGAAGCTACATAATGTATATACTAATACTTCCTATATACTACCTCGACTCTCGACACGATTTAATCATCTATATTATTGCTGTCACTTATCACGAATGAATCCCATCTGACCTAGTAGCATGCCAACCTTATAGAATAAATTGATCTACCTACACTTACTACTTCTTCCACTTCCTTGTCTTCCCGCATTCAATATCTTGCATCTTCTATCCCACATCTTTATCTTCGTGCGTATAAGCTGAGCTAGTACTTTCTTCTTCTTTCATCTAACACTGTACTTATTGCGAGGCTGGAAACATACTTCCCCAATATTTATTTACTCTCTTGTCACCTCTTGCAGCTTTCTGCGCACCTGCAGCCATGGTAGACTTCGAAGACAGGCCAGAGGATATGCTTCGCTCCTTAAACACGAAAGTGACCCGTTATATGAAAAGCAGGGAGCTCATCGACCAAACGAAAGCAATCACGCAGCTCGTCCGATCTCAGAGTCTGAAACTGAAAAATGCGGACAAACTTCCGACAAAGGCCGTCACAGACCTAGAGGCGTGGGAAATACCTCAATTGTTCCTCCTCACAATTGGTGACCCTACGATGATGAACTTTGCCCGGGAGAGGACGAAATGGTCTCATTGCCTACTCATCTTGGTATAGCCGATTTATCCATACTGCTTTGTGGCTATAAATGCTGACTTAAATAGAACGCATTCTAGCAGATTATAAGCTTGCAACAGGTGGATCACCCCCGAATGAAGCTATGTTACGTTCTCGAATTGACGCTATTATGTTGTTCACACTTGCGATAATAAAACGTGAGACGGGGCGTCTTTCTATTGGATCTGTGCAGTCTGCCGAAAGCATAAAGTCAGTACATCTTCAGTTTGAACGGAGCGTCAGACGTCCATGGCACCTTAGGGCCACACAATGGCTAGTTTCCGGCGTGGTGGATTGCTCGCTCTTGTTTGGAACGCCAGATGACTATAAAACTAACCTAGTGATGGTCGAGGCGAAGAAGGCTGAGGCTCTCTCCGGCGGCGTTTTGCAATGCCTAGCCTATATGGGTGAATGATCTTGAGTTGCACTTTCAAATATCTATAGGCGTGCGCTAACATAAATAGGAATGCTTCACCATGCGAGGAAAACTGCGGAGATGGATTACACATCTGTCTACGGCGTTGCCACGGATAGTCTCCGTTGGGAGTTTACTCGAATCTGACCCGACAGCCGGGTATGAAAACTCACGAAACATATATAGCAGAATATCACTAGTGCATTATCCAGTACATACCCCGAAAGTACAACTGGCACACGGAAAAAGTCGAGATTGTCTCCCTCCTGTACGAGATCTTCAAGATTGCCGCACGTTCCTCTGCCCTGTCTCCG